TACAAAAATTCCCCAGTTCCCTATCTTGCCAGAATCCTTGTAAACCGAGGGCGCGCTTCCTCAGAATTTCTCAGTAACCTTAAAGGCTAAATATTTTACTTGTATCTTTCCTTCTATTGATGAGATGTGTAAATTTTTGACTGAAATGCGAACATTCTGTTCTCGCATAAGTCTATACAAATACATCAGCATCATCGTTCAGCGAAAAAAAAAAGTGAGGCGAACTTCACTGATATCTGCTAAACTCCTAATGCATGTTAATACTAAAATTTAAGGTGGACAGGGATTGAACCCGTATTTTGAGGGAGGGGTAAGAAGGTGAACCTCCATGGTCAACACACAGAGTACGCAATCGAATTCTGCATACATACTGTTTCAAACATTCTGACCTGATAAGAAACGACAACAAGAATGCCACTGCAGTCGGTTCGCTGCCATATCCTTCAATGTCTCCAACCAACCGGTTGTGGAGTCTTTCAGGCTTCGACCTGGAAGGCGTGAGACACCTACTCTACCTAATGGCTTTGCGCCTCGTCTCTACGTCATCTGTTGACCTTCACGTGGTCTCTTCCAGCCCGGATTAGCTACAGCAAATAAAGTGCGGTGCGGTAGACGACAGCTGGGCATATGCAATGTGTGCCCTACCCTATAAAGTCTACTAATCTGAATTCCGTGTGATAGCAGCTTTATCCCTGATAGACTTCGAAACACACGACAACTTACCTCCAGATTACCAAACTGTTCGCTCCATCCCATGTGGGCTAAACTACGTAATCACCGATACTCGAAAACTTCTAGTCGGCGGATTTCTTCCACTCGCATATTCAAGGTTTCACAAACATAAAGTAGAACTGAACGAACAGTGGTACAGGTGTTTGCCATCGGACAACCACTTGGTAAAGAGGAAATTAGTCGTTTTTAGAGCAAAGGATGCATGAACTGAAAAGCTAAGAAGCAGTGGACAGCTGCTTCTAGCTGGTCAGGTCTCATCAGCAGTGCGCGAATCCAACTAGGTTGGACCAATAAGGACTGAACCTTTACCGATGCTGTTTTCATGGGAAACTTTATACCCACTTTGTGCAGTTATAATGAAAAACGGTATGAACAGCTGCTCGGTGGTCGAGCGGATAGCATGCCTATGTGGCCCCGGGTCCGCAGTTGGGTCGATGGATTCGCCCACTGCTGAAGAGACCCAAACAGATCGACAAAGCTGTATATCGATTTTTAACTTTTCATTTCACTCTTCATTTGCTCTATGCACAACAATTCGCTCTTTGAAACTGAATCAAATTCGCCTTACTTAAATGTATTCGATAGATTTTTAAATAGGGATCGATGATCACAAGCTTTCATGTGTCACATACAGACCACAAGCCAGCATTCAAATATTTCAACTAATCGTTAGAAACCATAGAGGACAAATGTTAAATTTTTTCAAATCTTAGTCGCTACAACGTGACACAATCTGGTATTTATACGTTGAGGAGGAAAAAGATGATCGTTTGATTTTTTAGATGTAAAAACAGGAAACGATCAGATGGCATCTTGCAAAGATCCGTCTACCGGGAGACCAGTGGACAATACTTACAATTTTCTAGTTTCCCTCCTGTGACATACAAAAGCGGTCTGGTGAAAACCCTGTTCTGTCGTACCAGGAATATTTGCTCTCCTGATACTCTTCAAGAAGAAGAGGCTCTTATGCAAAGAACGCTAGTGGATGATGATTATTCAGAGAAAATTATTGATGTGCATAGCAGAAGGTCACCGGTTGATCTCATCTGCGAAATACCGAAGAAAAGCGTCTTCCTCAGATGTCTTCAAGAGTGATCATATAATGAATGATGTGCGTCAAAAACTCAAGGCGGTATTATGTCGAACGTTTCCTGCCGCACAGCTTCGATTGATACTGTAAACTCTAGGACTTTGTTCGGTCAATTGAAAACGGAACCAGCCGCGCACATATCGTCTATCAGTTCACCTGCATTTGCGGTGATAGTTAAATCGGCAGAACGAAAAAGTCCCCGTCACAACGGATGTCTAAAACACATTCCCAAGTGGTTGGTACAATAAATGAGGCAACACGGACTTAGTGATCTATCTGATAAGAGGAAGGCAGGGTCACCACTCGCAAAACATATTATGACAAGCCGGTAGTGGGTGCTTCGACCGAATCTTAACCCTCTGAAAATGGCTAGAGTACCATGACCCTTTCGAAAAATCAGTGAGTATTTTTTTTCTCAGACAAGTGCGCGACCTTAGATTTCACCGTTAGAACTGCATTATAGAACTGTCTGTTGGGGAATGGAATACCTGGGCAGTAAACGTCAATTCTCAAAGAGTTACAGCGTCATACCTCGAGTCGAATTAGGGATTATGGGAAACTTTCGTCAACTGTCGCAGTATGCGACCGAGTCTGGCAAGACTGTCCTATATCGCCAGTTCTGCTTGACTCTTCCCTAAGCGATGTCTTAATGATAGTTTTGTGTGTTCCAGCAAACGGTTGAATNGGTTGAATCGAACTCCTCTTCAGACGCAATTTTCTTGGTTTATAATATGCCGGTGACAGGTATTCTAGCATACGTGCAGTCCCGGGCGATACAGGTAGGGGCTTTGCACCATCCAAGTGAAAAGCGGTTGTAAAAGACCGGTGGGAGCCAGAGCCTACAATCAACCTCTGGGTTGACCAGCTAGAAATGATAGAGTCCGAATTGCTTCTGGAGCATGACCACAGTTGAAGATGGAGTTATTTAAAAGATTGCACCATGAGTAGCTTGCCACATTTGATATGTACCTCGTGATGCCTCGGTTCATAGTTGGTTCAATGTTCCTCGCGCTGTCCCTATCTACTTTTTGTTCTTGTGGCATTCCTCCTCAAGCACTAGGCTGTAAGAATCATACATCATGATCGTACAACAATGGTGATGGCTGGTTGATAATCTTGTAAAAGAAAGGACAACGATGACGTGGATCGGAACACATGAAGAAAACTCGTCTGAATTCGCTCACGGACGGTTTGATAAGTTATCCAAATACAATATGGAGGAATTGATTTCATTGATTGAAGATAATAGGGTAGTGACACTGTCGTATCTATGAATGAAACTCAAAGTCAAGACAAATGTTTTCATCAGTACAGTCGGTAACCACATAGATGGGAAACTAATAGCAGTCCAGAAACATTAAACACCGACGAGGATGGATGAATAACGGGGGGAGAAGGTAATATAATGACATGGTTTGCGTCTTTTCTCCCTAGAAATGTGTCACAGTTACAATGGGACGAGACTCTTGGATATGGGATTATGTACATCGATGAAAGCAACTTCAATCAGCATTGTTGAAGAAAATGTGAGCATGCAACAGGAGGCCAAAAGTGTGGAATACTAGTGGCAAGTTCAAGAGGCAAAACATTTTGCATATTGTATTGTAATAAGTTCTGTAGGCTAAAAGACGAAATTACAATTAAGGTGCTATGTAATCGGACAGGTTATTTAACTCTGCTCTAAAAGATGAATCAAATAACTGCATTATGCCTGCAACGGTTGGAAAGGCTCATCAATCGACTCTCACAAGAAGAGCACGTGATTGTGTGTGTGTGTCAATGCCCCACGAGACTGAAAACTGGAGAATGTGGTTATCAGAAGAAGAGTAAGCATCGTCAAGATTGCAGAACCGAAAAAAACGTTGTTGCGGTCGGAATCTAAGAATCAGAAAGTTATACCATGCTTGAAGTCGATATTACGAGTACATGATATGATTCGGAGCACGTGGAGTGCCATACCAGCTAGCTACAAAGGCTCGAACTTTCCGCGTTTGCGAATTTGCATAGAGTCATCTTTTTCGTGGGCAATACTTTCCGGGGTAGCTATACATGAAACAAAATGTTTCAATATGATGTGGTTACGTCTAATTATGTGCATGCTTCAAAGTACCTAGTTCACCGGAGAGGTCATCAACACCTTGCATGCACGCGCTTTATCGTTCACCGCAAACCAACGCCACATGAGATGATCAAGTACTTATCGATTACCTGATTTTATATCGAATCTCTAATCAGCAGCTAAATCCCATCTTAGATGTGCTGATTTGGATCTGACTGAAAAAGTAGCAAACAGCACAGTTTCTTACAGATCACAATTTCTACTAGTGGGACACTGTTGTGTTGATGATACATGCGCAGTTATCACTATTAAATAGCATTATTCACGTGATTTTATTGTTATATGACAACTTCTTATGAAATACCCAACGAGCACAAAGTGTTCCGCGAGCTTCACTGTCTTTCGCAAAACGCGAAATAATTTAGCCGCCACAACGCTTTGAGTGGAATTCGGTTCTGATAAACTTGTCAAAGTTTTGAGCACCAGACGGTATCCGGTGAGCCAGAAAAACTGGTTGAAGCAAATGGGTGCAGCGGCGAACTCACCCGAACGTGTTATGATAGCGTACGTTGTCATGAATCACAGTGGAAAAGAATAGACGAGCCTCACGTTGTTCAATCTGAGAGAAGGACAGCAAAAAAAAATAAGCAATGCAAGTATTTAGTCCAGTAGTGGAATTACTGGAAACCAATGAGAAACGGAAACGCTTGAGATGAACAATACCAACAGGAAAACAGGTCGAGAGGGCTTTGGAAGGTCCACGCTCAAGACGTTCTGTGTAAGTTAGCCTTGCCCGTCACGCAGTTCGGTATGACATTTTCTCCATCGAAATGTGAGGTTTTACTACAAGACTGGCAAAAGGGTACACATGTCCTTACGCTCATGAACGACCAGTTGGAAATCGTCGATCACTATACTTACCTCGGGAGTTGTTTCAGCTCAAGAGGACTGACGGAAGAAATATCAGCGCGGATCCGTAAGGTTGGAGTGGCTTCCACTAAACTACGTCACTTGTGGCGCCGACGCGATCTCATTCCCTCCTTGAAAGGCCACAATACGCTCTGTCCTACTCTACGGTTGTGGAAGTTGGCCCCTCCGCGCAAAAGACGTTCGAAGATTAAGTGTCTCTGACCACCGTTGTCTTCATTGCATCGACGAGGTTCGCCGAAGAATTTTCACCAGAGACATTCTCAGTGGTTCTCTGAGTGCCTTAAATTTTAACATCCGTAGCAGCCCATGAAACAAGGATAAATTGTGACATCCCTAATCTTTCTGGGAACCGTGAATCGATTCATTTGTGCTAAACCCTATGGGACAAGAAAAGCAACCGTTTGTAAGCATTTCCCATATTAAAACTTTGACTTTGACCATCTTATCGTGGCACATTCTCGGAAAGCCGCGTACTGATCTTTTAGATTATAATACCGGTCGTTATCTCTGATCGATGATGAGCACTGCAATAGTGCTTTTAAGCAAAGCACCTATGGGGATGACAACGGAAAGCAGAACAGAGGAGAAAGAAAAAACGGACACACTGGAGACAGCACCAGAGAAAGACGGATTGGTATTTGATTGAAACTTGCCGTGATGAACTCCGGTAGTTGCATTTTTTGCTTTTGACAATGTGCAATAAGAATCTGTTTCGGTGTGACTCCGTGCACAGGCCAATATCGACGCTCAAACGGAATGTGGCGTTCGATGGTCTTCTGTACGGGATCGGACTGTTGGACTGCTGGTGTCGGATCCGTCTCCAGACGCGGCCGTTTCCCGTCAGGTAATTCAGACTCTAATAAAGTACCCGCTTCAGTATCCCGTGACGTACCGTTCGTGAAATGATGATTACATTCTTCAGTCTGGTTGGTCCTACGACATTTCTCCAAAACTCCCCAAACAGAACTGCAAAGTTTAGATATTGATACGGTAGAGGGATATGTGGTTATAAGTAATAAACATTGTTATCTGTGAATATTTGGCTCAAAAAGACAGCAAACGTCTAACACAGATAAAAAACGTCAACCAATGCACAGAAAAAAGGCTTTTCCATATACACATATCGTGTGCTTCCAAAGAAATTTCGTCTGGTTAATCGTATATTACTTATAATGAAACATTCAATAAATACTATCAAGTCACATTTGTTGCGGTTAGTAGCATCTAACCCGCCTACAAAACATCCAATCATAGCATTGATTCTTCAATGAACTGGCTCTGAAAGATCTGTCTATACAAAAGTCACCCGGTGTTGCAAACAAGGTTATTGTGACGAAAATACACTTCCTGGGTACAAGTATATGAATGAACTGACAAAAGATTATTGGAAACGCATGCCTGACGAGCGGCAAAATCCGCGAAACCGTTAGTGTGTTTCCGAGGGAATTTTGTCTGGTCAGTCATATACTACTTATGCTCTATATATCACCAATTTGTAAGCAAACATGGTATCAACGCAACAAGAATAATAACCATAAAACGAGATGGGTGGATCACGATACAGAACAGAATAGACTGAAACAGTTATGATCGGAAACAGTGAATAATGAGAATAACAATTTTTTTGTTTCATCGTACAATGTCGATATTTTGTGTGTGATAGTGTATCCTTTTCTCACGGAGGAACGGGATTTCAAACAGACAATACAGCATTCGCGCTATTAACTTCCATTGTGAGCCATATCTCTTAGCGTCTTCAAACAACGACAATACTAATCCATTGGGTCATTTATCGCCAAGTGGCCTAAAGCGTCGTGTACTTCCTGCGTGTTTTCATCCAACAGGGCGATGTCATCAGTATATTTTAAGTGAAGGACTGTGTTCTCGGGGGGGGGGGGGGGGGGCNGGGGGAGGTCAACTTCACCATTTGCTAGACCGGAAAAAAACTGCGTTCGAAAAAAAAATTTCCCTTCAACAGATCACATGAGACGGTGACATATATAAGGCGATTGTAGTACAAATATATCTGAGTGGCTGATTGCAGCTCAGCTTATAAACCTGGCAGAGGCGAGCAGGCACCGAAAGCGAATATGGCAAGGCTGGTGATAGTCAAAGCTATCTATAGTCGTGGAGGAGGAGGAGAGAGAACAACCATCAGACGGGCAGATTAAAATGAAAATTATGAGCCAATACCAGATGTCGGGATGAAGTTATGTAACATATACTTCAAACTATATATCATGCATAGCTTTCTGGGAGTTCCATGGAGACATCAGCTCCTAAATGAAGCGGTTAGAAACCGGTGTTTTAATCGTATAAGATTGCGAAGGCTAATGGAACGACGGCGACTACAATCGCCAGGTCACATACTTCGTAGGTCTGATAACGACCAGACCAAATCTGCCTTGACGCCACCTACTTGCCCGAATTGGCGCTGTCGACGAGAAGGACAGCTCAAAACCCGGCTAGACACGGTACTGAAGAATACAGGAAACCTTGCTCTCCGCTCCGTCCATGGCGATCGTTTTTGGAAGTCCAGCTGGATTACAATCTGCGCCGATCTTGCCGTACACCGTCGAGCGTGGNGCGTGGGAAGTGGCAATCCGGGATATCCATGAAACCGGCTTGTCCTCTCCCAGGAGTCAGCCGCCATAAAGTAAAGTAAGTAGATCGGACAAAGCATTCTGTAGAACATCCTCTAAGGTAAACGTGAAGAAAAGTGGGAATATAGGGCGGCCTTGCCAAACTCCACTGGAGACGGTGAAGGGT